TCACTACACTAGCGCCAAGTCGCTGGCTCCCAGAACCGTTTCGGGCACTTTTTTCGCCAAAAACATTCGAGCACAAATTTCTGTATCAATTGGGCCTCCAGGATTACTTAATTAGATTGTTGAGAATCAGGTCCGTGCGCCGTTCAACGCGCATGCTTGTGGACTTCCAGCTGGACCCCCAACTGCGTTACTTTCCCTTGCATGCCAGTCCCAACCAGGTAATTAAGCATGCCACTTTTTTGGGCCGCTTTGTGTGCATTCGAGAGGAGTCAAGAATATTGTGAACAAGTGACATAAAGAAGCAGGACCAGCAGCCTCTAACATTGCCTCTTTTGACGCCTGGCAAATATCCATTCCCTGCCCCACCACACATGAGTCATTGCACACAGTGGGGCATTTGGGCGTTGTCAAAAGTAGGGGGGATTCCAGCAAATGGGTGGGTTCCTTTTTGCCCCCGTTTAAGATAGCATCCAAAAATGAGGGTCCCTGAAAAGAAGTGACAACTCGCATCAGGGGATAGCCACGCTGTTCAAGTTCTACGTAGCATATGGTTGAGCACTTCTGGAGGCCATGTTTGCCAACTGTTAATTTACATTCAGCACAAGCCCATTGCGAAAACAGGGTTAACACTTAAAACACATGCCAAAATTGTGGTTTCCCTTATGGTGCCCACTAAAAACCAAACAAAAAGGCGTACCCTCAGACAAAGACATCCAGATCACTTATTCAGGAAATGCTGTAGCCGCAACTGACGTCATTCTGAACTCGGTAGTGCAGCATTACATCGAGTTGTGTATTCAGAGCAGCTTTCTGGGAGCCCCCGGCATTGTCGGATGGGTAGTCCGAAAGCATGACTCTATGCTGACAAAGGGGGAATGATTGCACGTTGGCCTGTTGTTTGGTTACAGACTCCATGGGACGTAATTGCGTGTGTGCTGTTTCTGGTGGATCCAAACCAGAGAGGATGTGGTCTGGCCAGAAAGAAGTCTTGCAGTTGGTTCACCTGTAAAAGGCCTGTTTCCGTGTCATAGACCGGGTAGGCGGTCCACCTTATCTTGCCGGTGCGATAGGTCGTGGTTGAATGAACCGGAAGGGGATTCCCTTATAAAGGAAACCACCAGTCGGATAAGGGGATGCCCTTAAAGGAAACCACTTGGGATGTTTTTGTTTTTGACGCGTCAGACTCAATTTCTCACTCCCTACCTACCGCCACATCGCAAGCAGTAACGTGCCACCTCAGAGGGCGCGATGCCAGGTCCAAGTGCCGCCTGGTATCGGCCCTGGTACCGTCATGGAAATTGTTTGCTAGGCCGGGGCGAGGGTGAGGCCGTTCGTTTGGGCGTTCGGCTGGAAAGCAAATGTGACCTGGAGATTTGATGGAAAGTGTAGGTGTGTAGTTGTGCAAGTCTACGGGTGGCATGTGTCATTGTGTTGTGTTTGTGGGTGTTGGTTATGTGTGTGTGTGTGTTTTATCTCTCTCTCTCTCTCTCTCTTTGTGTGTCTTCGTCCATGTGCGTGTGTCCATGTCCATGTGTGTGTGTGTGTGTGTGTTGGGGGGGGATTGCTTAGGTCAGTTTGTGATTATACTTTGTTTAGCTCAGGTGATCCCCGTTCTCGCATATGTGGTGTGCAATGAGCCACCGGCACCCTCTCTTGTGGAGCCTGCATTCTCGATTGATGTGTTGCGTTCTGGATTCCCATCCTGTTTGTCATATGTTTCGTGCATGTTGCGGCGCGGCCGCGGCTTTGGTGCATTCCCTTTGCTTAGCTGAGGTGATGCATGACGCATTCTAAATGCATCCTTCTAGTTTGTCCCTTGAAAGTGTGGCTTTGGCTTGTATGCTTTAGGCCAAAAGTTGAACTGGGAAACATGGTGACGGTGGATGCCCAAAGCGGAATCACAGAAAGCAGACCTGAGATCTTGAATCTACACAATGAAATGTCCTTGCCAAAGGCATGCCGCTACGTTTGCAAGTGAGGCTGGCTGGCCTTAACATACTCACAATGCACACATGGACGCTGTCCTGCTTCATTGTCGGCTGAAAGCGCGGGGCATATGGGTCATTCACAGTATCTCCGGTTGTGGGTCCATCGGGGTGTATGGAAAAGCTTCGCCTTTTTTTGGCACTCCTGCCTTAGGCTTTGTGGCGTTCGGATAGTTCCCATTCTTCAGCATTTGACCATCCACAGCACACCATGGGGACCAGGACCTCAGGAGCATTTGGCTAGTGGCACTGGGAAAGAACGACTGCTGCCACATCCATGAACCCATATTAACTTCAAAGTCAACCAACGTCAATCGCCCTTCCCCTAAAATTACTCATCGACTTCAGTTGCAACCCCTTGTGTGTTGAATCAGGACGCCATGCCTTCAACTCATAAACCGGAATTTCGGAATGTGCCTGTTGTAGATTGCTATTGGTCGCTACTGCCATGGATCCAAGTGAGACATGTTTTCTCTACCGCTATTGGGTTGGATCTTTAGACTTTAACTTTTTGGATTCCCTTAATATTTTCCTCTTAACCATGAACAAGTTAAGCTTTTTGCCGCGGGATCTACAGCACCTAAGTTTTACTCCCCTGTTCCGGTTCTTCTCATTCTTTTCGGTCCTTTTCGGTTCTCTTCGGCTTCGGTGTTTTTTGCTCTTCGTCCAAACGGGCTCCCCCGTCTCCGGGCCTGACAATCGCCGAAACTGGCAATTGCGAGAAAGGAGTTGAATCTGTGAGGAATCGATGTAATTGTTCGAATATGTCTTAGTTTTGAATTAGCCATTGCGCTGCAACCCACTACGCGTGGTCCGGGGGTCATTTTTTAGTCTCGGGACCTTTTGGGCTTTGTTTAGCCAGTGGGACGCCTATTCGGATGTCAGGAGTCAAGAACCGTGCCAGCGCCTTGGACAGGCCAGCAGCCAGCGAGGCGATGACGCGCCAGTGAGGCGATGACCATGTCTTCACTTCACGGGCTTGCAGATAAAAACCGGTTTGGAAAGCTAGCGGTATAGCTTCGTGTTGCCTCGGTTCTTGCTTGGTGTAGCAGATGAGCGTTCACATGGCTGTGGGTCAAAACCAATGGTACCATTTCGGGGTAGGTCCTCAGGCCGCCCTGTCATAGACCTCTGCTGGGCCAACTACACAATGCTCCCGAGAGTCATGCAGCGCGTTTTGCACCTGACGAAGCGTGCGCCAGTTTTCGAAGGGCTTGGAAGACCCCAGGGATCGATCCATGCCTCAAAGTCAATTGGTGGCCCTAGTAATCCTTCAAGTCTCCCTTGGGCTCCCTTACCAGCCACTAAATGCCCGTCCAACACCTGCTGACGCAAGCGTTTAGACTGCATACGCAGGACCCCTTTGAAACAAATGAAGCTTAACGAGGTGCAATGCAGCCGGTATGAGGAACAAGCGCGCGAGCACAGGCACACAGACAGGCACACACATATGAAGACGCATGTACGACGCACACAACGCACACAACGCACACAACGCACACAACGCACAAACGCACATGTATTTGACATATCTATCCTGGAAATTCATTCTCCGTGAATTTTCTGGTAGTTCTCGTCTTTAACTTGCTGTGCCTAAATATCGATGAAGTCGCCTAAAACTACTCTTACTCCTATATGTTCGTGAGATTGCAGAATTGGTCCCTTTCTACGTTTTCGCCGCCCGGAATTACCCGCAAAACGCCCGCAAAAAGCCCACAAACGACCACGAAACCCCGCAAACGCCCACAAATCAGAAAAAGACGCTGCTTGGGTTCGGGGGTCGCCCAAAACTCCTAGAAACCATTTAGAACGTCCAACACGCCCAAAACTACGCCTAGGAAAAGGCCGGAGAATGAATCTTCAGGATTAATGTATGAACTGGCACGCAATGACGTGCGCCCACACGCACACACACACACACACACACACACATTGAATCGGGAAGCCGCACGAAGACGCACAAACATGCTGACACATTGTCAGACTGACGCAAAGTAGCACGCACTCAGATATGAGACAGGGAGACAGACAAGTACCGAAACGCTCACACGCTTCCTGGCATGTGCCTGTACAGACAGGCCCGCCCAGCTAGCCCGCACTAAACACGCACAACCGAATTCAGCCATTGCCACGTGGCTCGCGCGGACGGGTGTACACATCGTAGACTTAAACGTGAATTGCCGCACGGTTGAACGCACATACGCTTCAGCACTGGTGCACCAGTCCCACGTGAAGGGCTTGCGGCCACCCGATGTGTTCAAGAGCATGCACACACGCACAAGTACTCACACAACCAACAAAGGGATTTCCCATTTTATCAGTTTGATGAATGGTTCGGGGCAAGCATGAATGTTGATCATCTCAGTTTCTGCAGTTGGCATTGGGCTGCCAATTGACATCCGGAAGTCATTTGCCCCGAAGGGGAATCTGGCGACTGTAGTTCATGGGCAATCCTGAGCAGCTGTGTGAAGCTTCGCGAATAACTTCAGACCGCAGTCAGGCAAAAGTTGACTTCTTTTGATCTGTCCCTTGATGGGTGGTCATCGGACCAAGTGAATGACCTGAAGGATCAGAACAAGCTCTCAAACTCTTACATAGCGGAAACACCCTTGAGGGTGACGAAGCAGCACTGCACAGATTGGAGCAGGGTTGGTCTGTTGCCGGGTCTCACAGCCTTTCCGATCTATAGTGAACATATCGGCGGAAAATGGCAGTCGCTAATTCGCCACAGACATGCGCAGGAACAAAGTGAGGAACCTTTGTGCGGGGGAGAAAAGAATCGGTAGTTTCGGATGTTGTTGGGAATTCCAAGTCGCGGCTCAGTTCGCTATCATGGCTTTGGTCTTTGGTGGTCTCACCACACTCAGGCAGGGTAATAGCTTTACAAATTGTTCTTTCATTTACGGATACTTGGCATTTCTTGCCGCATTCTGCCTCAAGTCTTGTCAATCGGCACCAATCACATGTGTGGTCTTGCGTCGGGGCAAAGGCAAGCAGAGCTTGATGCCTCCTAAGGGAAGGTGCGGTGCAGCCCTCCAATGCCAAGCAGTTCTTCTTGCGACAGAAGGCAGGCTTGTTTGGTTGGGAGGGTTCCCCTACTAAATTAGAGGCAAGAAAAAAAGGGTACCCTTATTCTAACCTCTCTACTGGAGGACCTAGAGGAGTTGTCGTGAAATTGGGCAATTAGTATTTGCTTAGCATCACAAGTCTCGGGCCAGTTCTCTCAACGAAGCGGCCTTCCTACAGGCAACATCGGGACGGAACTTAGACCGCAGCAAGTGGTTGTAGAACTGGGTGGAAGTAGATGGCACAATTTCCAGCAGATGGCAAGTAAAGGGAATGCGGACTGACCAAGCCAATTCGGGTGCATTGTGCCATTTGCGTTCCCCTCCAATTGCAATCACTTGTTTGTTTCTGGCTGGGTAGGAGTCTCACCCATGCACACACACACACACAAACACATGTGCACATGCTTGCACAGCGCCACAACGCACACATCAAATCCACCTCGAGGGTGCATGATCGAGGGTGCATGATGTCCGTGATTTCGAGGCCCAGCAAGTTGCTATAATTTGCTGCATGCCGTGCCCTTGTTTGTTACCCACACTTTTCGGCGCGCGATTTGCTGGGCAAAAACGGGTATCAGAGGATTCGGAGCCCCTCATATCACGGCAACATCTGCCATGAAGCTGGTGGGATGAGGTATGGAACAGAGAATGCGCTGTTTGATGCATGCTAGTTTGCAAATGTAAGATGTGGAGATTCGACGTGGCCTCAAAGTGAAGTTGGGCATGTTTGGTTTGTTTTTGGGTCAATTGTTCCGTGTTTTTTTCATCGGAGCCCAGGATTCAAAGGGGGGTGTCCCGCTTTAGAGACAATGAATCCGAGGCCTCGTGGGCCCATCGCCACAGAACCCGCGAAGTGCGAAACTTCGCAGGCGCCAGGAAGACCCGTGGTGATGGAGCGGTGCACGGCCAACCCCGAGGCGCGCAAGATGTGCTATCAGGGAGGTATTTTGGGACCTAGGCAGCTTTCCGTGCAAGAGGGGCTTTTGATGGCTGTTCAACCTTTCCTTTTCGGAAGCTTTCCCTTGTTCCCTTCCTTGGGGTCATTTCCTTCATATCCCAGGCGTGCCTGGAGCTGGAGCGCTGTGCTGAGGGCCACGCAGGGCGCCAGTGCCGCCGGGCCGAAGGGCGGGGGTTTTGGTTAAGCAGTCCTTGGGGTTGTGCTACGCCCGAAAGGCCCGCCCAAGCCTCAGGAAAGTGAGGGTTTTTAGGACCTTCATGCCCAAATCCGCGGGGAGATCCAGGGGAAAGATGTTACTTTCGACCTTGGGATGATGAGATGACTCTTTCAATTGACAAGGCCGGCAGTTGCAACGGCCTGTCAGACCTTTCAGGCTTTGCTTGCCTGCCCGGCTTTGTGAACACTGGCAGCTGCAGCAAATGCCCGGCCCGGTTTTGCCGCTTGGCTGTATGTGCGTCGGCTGCATCAATAGGTTGTGAGACTTCAAGATCACCAGCGAATGGTTGCCACAGGTGCAAAGATGTTGTTTGAGAAAGGATGCATGTATGACAGCCCCTGCAAACACCCAAAAAACTAACTTGCTTATTTGGCGCGCCAATTTGCTCGCCGTTTTTGGGGGAAGGTTCGGCATGTCAAGCTTCCCATTCGCATTGTGCAAACGCCCTTTCGAGCCGTGGCCTGTAATTCCCCTCACTGCCGCTTTGCTGAAGTGCAATGGTGATGTGAGAAAGGGCCTGATCCATTCTTGTAATGTTCTTTGCATGTTACTTTGCTTCTCCACCTCTGCCTCGTGCTACTGCTTCTGGCTTCTGTGGCTGGTGAGGTATTTGCTGCTTTTGCAGCAGAGAACTGCCCTACTTTACCTGATGCCTGAATCATCACGAAATTGCATGCGGGCTGGTGAATGACAAAGTGGTATCCATCAGTCTTTTTCATCGAACTGATTTTGCCAGACACCCCAGCCGTTCAGTGGCACCCTTTTCCCTTTTCGTTTGGTGGTGTTCACCACAAGTTGGGCTCCCCGTTTGTACCACGGTCAGCGGGCTGGGGCGGGCGGTTGCTCAGATGGCATTTTCTTCGCAGCGCCCAAGCCTCAGACATAGCGCAGCGAACGGAAGCCATCCCTCATTGAGGGAGCCGCTCAAAGATTTCGAATCACCCACAAACCCACATGGCTGTGCGTCAAAACTAAACCACCAGGAGACCGCAGGTTTTGATCCTTGGCCATTTTGGCTACCTATTTGTGACCCACAGCCATACGCTTCACCAAGAGACGCGTGTTTGGGAACCCATTGAGCCAATTTGTAGCCCTTGTGCTGCTTGCAAGGCTGTACTTTGTCTTCTACTTGTTGGTGATCCACCTGCTTGTGATGATGGCGGACCTTACGAATAAGAAGGAGCTTTGCAGTTTGCAACTGCGCATGTTCTGTGATCGCCGGATCACATGATCACGAGAATCGCCAATTTTGAGCGGAGCAGACTGCACCCTCACCTGGCCCCCACCTTGGAAGCCCTAAGCCTCAAGGAGCTCAGGGTGAATGCAGGTAATTGTCCCACTGATTCATCGTGCCTGAGGCTGGTGAAGTGCGTGATGCGTTCTCTCCCTATCGGGCACAACTAGTCCATGGCCAGGGGAGCTTGACAGCCGAGATTTCGAAAGTGGCGGGCATCATTTGGGACTTGTAAAGATGAAGCCGAAACATGTGCAAACCAGGGACTTGGATCCCACCTTGGCTTCCAGTTTTGTTGCAGCTGAAGGACTGCCACTTGATCCTTATGAAGATCTTGCTGAACCACTGCATTGCTATGCTCCTGGGCTGAAGTGGCCTGGGCACCGGGGGAAGTTTGCATTGTCCCTGGAATCAGCGGCATGGTACAGAAACACAGCAGGATAGGCACAGCAACCTCCTGTGCATGCTCACGGGGGCAGTTGCGAACGCATAACCACACTGAGGATACCATGTGGTGCCCAAACATGATCATTGATTTTGCTTTTGTGTTCCTGACAAGAAATCAACAGGACGGCCAGCAGGCACGTACTTGCTTCCAACCGTAAGCTTGTGAAACCGGGCACAAAGCATGCGGCAGGGTTCCGCAGCACTGATACTTGTCACGGTGTCACTTGCTGGTGACAGTTTTGTGTGTTGTTTTGACGGCATGCGGAGAGACGGCCATTATTTGGAGCCCAATTTGCTCACAGCAGGGTCAGGGTTTAGACATGGTATGGCATTAAACCATGCAAACTTGCGAACACCTGCCATTGATCTTTGGTGATTCAAGTCACCCCCTCCTCCCAGGTCACCGTGATTGCGGATAGATATGAGTAGACCTGGCAAAACAGCGCTGGCGGCCTTCGTGTGTTCCTTCGGCAGCCCCACGACTCAGGGCGGTGCTGGGCTCTCAAATTTGGCGCTATGTCACTGAGGCAGGACTGGTAAAAAAGCTCGTGGTTGCCCAGACCCAGAAGTTTCGGCAACGGAACCCTCATGTGGAAAACGTGTCCTTGCAGGCAGACTCGGAGAGAGTCACCACTCTCCACAACCACGCTGCAAGCCCCGAAGCTTCCACAAAACCCGAATGACACAGTCGTGACTCCCCGCATAGCAATACCGCCATGCCCGCGGCAGACAGATGTACGAACTGGTCCGTGAACGGAAACATTTGGGTGTTGGCCGCACACGACACGCCGGCGGCTCCGCTTGATGCGAGCTGCGATATGTCAACGACGAATTCATGTGAGCAGCTTTTTGTTTAATGCAGGAGCCAAAAGGAGAGGGGAACTGGAATGGTGGCCGCGTAGCCTACTCCTAGGACCGCGTAGCCTCGCGTAGCCTTGCGTAGCCTCCGCGTAGCCACTAGCAAAGGGAGCTGTCGATAATCGTCCGCGTAGCCTCTGCATAGATCCTTTGTCTTGAGCTAAAGGCTTAGGTTGAAAGCTTGCATGTCTCAAACAAAAAGGGTAAATGGCCCGGCCAGAACTGAGTTCGCTCGTTCCGCGTAGCCTCAGCGTAGCCTTCACTTAGCCTCAGCGTAGCCTCCAGGGCGTATTCAAGGCCACTGGCCCACATGCCAACTACTACTACGACTACGACTACGACTACTACTACTACTACGACGACGACGACGACGACTACTACTACTACTACTACTACTACTACTACTACTACTACTACTACTACTACTACTCTACCACCTACTACTGTTACTACTATCAGGGCGACTGTCTTGAGAGCCGACCCACCTGCTCAAAATCACTCGAAATCCCCTCAAAGAGGGGGGGAGAGCGAAGGGGGGCGGGGAGGAGAGGGGCCGGAGGCAAAAGAGATTTTGAGCAGGGGGGTCAGCTCACTTTTCCGTGGCGAGGCCACTGTTTTGAGAGCCGACTCACCTGCTCAAAATCACTCGAAATCTCCCTTCCCCTCCCCTCCCTCCCCATCTCGCCCCCACCGCCCCTCTCCTCCCCACCCTTGCCAGGGGAAAGCTCTCCAAGCAGAGCGAGAGAGAGAGAGAGAGCGTGTTCATGCAAAATTCCAATGACACACATTAACCTAAAATGTAAGCCAAGTCCATTGCCCCGGCGTAGCCCCCTGCATAGCCACTTATCAACAAAAATGTTCCGCGTAGCCTCCGCGTAGCCAAATTCCTATAGCCTCCGCGTAGGTAGGTGCTTCCCGTGTATAGGCCCAACAAAAAAAAAAGCCTCATGTGTTGTCAATCACCATAAGACGTGCGAATCCACTTGGTCCTTTCCTACGAAAATAGGCCACACTGGGCCTGAGTTTCGGCAACATGTTTGATGTTGCTGGAAGTGCGGTGGCCTATACTTGGATGACTCGAGGGTCCCCATTGCACTGCTTTGCCAATGTGTCCTCATGAAAAATGACATGCGACATGCTCAGGTGAACCAACCCTGCCCCAAGCACTTAGGTTTCAGATTTGTATGTTGACATTCATTATATCAAGGTCTTTGTTATGCAGTTCAATGAGAGTGTTGAATCATATCATATAATCAGCAATAATATGAGTACACTGATTAACTTCTCACCGAGAAGTTCCTATGCCATCCCTAACGGTATTCAAAAGTATTCGCATTTGCAAGTATTTCAATTAATGTCCTTCATCTAATTCTCACATCTCTCCTGCTAAGACACAATAGAGAATATTCATTGTCTCACACCAATCAATACGGTTTAACGTTTCCCACAGACTATGATGGTGATCCTCTCTTGGGGATCTACTCTTGGCAATGCGGCGATCCACTCTTGCAAATGACCAAGTCTCATGGGGAGAACGGAACATATTGTCGTGATTGTTCCTTTGCATATGTCGCGCCAGGTTGGATTGCCGGCAGCCCAGATCCTCTTAGCTGGGGGAGGTGCTGAATGGGGCGGTTGAGGGAAACACACAATCCCAGTTTGCACGTTTATTTGGCTTAGGCTTTTAGTCATGCACATGTGGGTTCAAGGTCAGGAGCTTGTAGGATGTTTGCGGGTCAAGCTGCGAAGAGTCGCACATTTTCCTGTAGGCTTCGGGACAGAAAGTTGCATGAACACTGGCTGGCAAGCACGTGCCAAATACACCCCGTTTCGCTGGGTTGCTGAAAATGAATCCTTATGCCGCAATGTCGCAAGGTAGTGGTTGTCCTTTGTCGCGTCCTACCGTGTATTATAGATAAGTTTAGGAACGCAGCATTTTCAGCAACCCAGTTTGCGAGATGTAGGCATGTGCTTGGCACTGAGGTTCAAGGACACACCGCTGATCTCCTGGCTGATGGAGATTATTGTGGCCATGGATGGCGTGCCATGGCAGTGTTCGCTTTAAAGGCATCTAGTATTTGGTTTCGGACATGCATGTTCATGAGCAGACGGGTTTGGGCTTTGTGTTCGGAAATGTTTCTTTTTGTGCCCGGGGGATTGCTTGCTTTGCAACAGGAACTGGGATGGCCAGTGCCGCTTGCTGCCACACGCATACAAAAGGCCCCAACAAACAAACAACTCAACGACTCCGAACACCAGATTCGACTCTGAGGCGCCCCAGGGGGAGGCCAGCTGGTTCTCCTTGAGCTGCCTCATGCAGCCGCCGAGTCCTTCGTGGTGGGGGCCGTGGCTCGAAAAAGCGCAAACGGTTTCTCTCAAAGGGGAACCCCTTCTTGGATGGTTTCAACCAGGAAACCAACCACCTGGAGACGACCCCATTTAAGTTTTTTGCGACACGCTCACATGTTGTCATTGGCTTCAATCTAGACTCCACTTTTGTTACACTTTATGGCCGCTTGTTACCACACGTGCAGAAAGTGTGGGATGGACAAAGGGCGTAAGTTATTGGCTTCAACTCGAACCCTTTTTTTGCTGGTCTGTGGTTCACAGCTGTGCTTCCTCGCTCTGGCTGCTGGGTTGTGGGGTTGCTGGGCGTTTGGGCTCGTTTCTGAGTTGCTTGGAGGCTGTATGCGATAGATTTCTAATTTTCTCGTGGACCTCGGCGGAGGTTCTCCACACAGCAAGATGTTTGTCGCTTCTTTATCTCTGGCGGCTGTTTTAGGCATGCGGCGAGACTTGATCCGAGTGGCTTCATGTTGGGTTTCCTGTGAGCAATGCGCATCCTGTGGGCAATTGGGTGGTGGCAGCAGCTGAGGATTGAAGAGTCGAGGCCTTAGGCGTTGCGCCACGTGCTTTCCCCATACGGCGTGGCGTTTGGTAGCTTTTTGTTTTGCAGCACACGGGATTCTGACCTGCTAAACCAGACAAGGTTGCCGTTCTGCTCCTTACGGAGCAGTGTTCCACTTGGAGGAAGGGGAAGTAGCTGCATGCATTGCTTGCGGACAGTTTTGGCCAGAGCAATGTGTTGGATCTAGGGTGCATGGCTTCAGCATGCTTCAGCATGGCATGACGACAGGCAGAAGGGTTGCCAGCTTTGTTGGAATGTTGTTTGGAGCCGAACCGCCAGATACAGCGCCCAAAGGCTTGTTTCATGTATTTAAGCTGTCCATAATCACAAGTCCCTGTGACAGCTTGCGGCTTTGCAATTTCAGTTCCGGTCAATTTTGGGGAAGCTGATAATCTGTTGGTGCGGTTAATTTGTTTCAGTTTCAGTGCCCTTTGACGCCATGATGGCCATGGCTCCTGGTTTTGGAAGCACTTTTTTTCAGGTCCGCCTGTTGTTTGCATCAAAACGGACGGCTCCCGTGTGTGTACCGCCCCGGGTTTGTCCGTACGGAGGCTTGCAGAGGCCAAGCACCACGAGTTCTCGGAAGCAGTGCGACCTGCACAAGGCAGACACGTCGGTTTTGCCGAGCGAAGGGTTCCTGGAAAATGGGGCATAAATTAAGCAGCGGTTCATGCATCCTGGGTTGCCAGGGAAAACAGGTGATTACTGGCTGACTGGTAGATGTTTCTTGGGTTTCACTGGGTTCAACTTCAAAGTTTGGGAGCGTGGATCCTCACGGTCCTATCCGCCATCTAAATGCCACAGTAGCGTTGGAGCGGATGCCCCGCCTGTTTGCAGTGAACCAGCTGCGCAGAAATCATACATTCGGAATGATGCAAATTATGGCATGGTTGTTAACGAACATGATGGCGCCCTTGGCGCTAGTTGCTTACATCTTACCGCTGCAACATGTCGCATTGGCTTGACTGGAGAGTTGTGAATTGCTGAGCACACGTTGGCCTCGAACTTGCGAACTGTGGAATGTTGGGAAGTGTTTTGTGTTGGTGGCTGAATCCTGGGTTGTCGACTGGGTCGGGCCATTCTACCGACCCAAGCCGCCGCCCATTCAGGTGTCAAAGTGGGCTGTGAAGGTCTAAATTCAACAGGAGTCACATGGGCATGGGAAGTGTGTAGCCTTCGCCCCTTGTTTGACGGATTGGGGTGATGCCACCTTCTTGACAGCGGTCCGATGTTTGTGACACGTCCAGATTCGCTGGCCGCCTACCAGCACCTGAACACAGCCTTCGTTGTGCTGTCCTGGACCCATGGCACTTCCGTGTCTTTTTTGTTTGTTTGTTTTTTAATACACATAATTTGTGTTTTTCGCAAACCGGGTCGGGGTGCGGGCGACGCCTGCTTCATGAAGAACAAGCTGCCGTGCGTCAGGAGTGATGCATATTAAATAAGGTGACAGGGCAGGGTTGGAAAACTAGAGCACAGACAGGCTTGATCATTGAGAATTGGCGTCTAGAATGGCACTGGTCGGAAGTTTGGACTTACATACATACAAAAACACATAGCTAGTTTGTTTGGTTGCACCCTCAACTTCGCCGATTCACTACTAAGTGGTTGCTTTGTTGCAATAGTAAAGCACGCCAGCAAAAGCTATTTAAGCAACTTCCTGTAATAGTGATGGAGCTTGTTGGCGCGATATCCTGCAGAACTTCCAAGGAATGCCTCAAGAGAGCGGGATGTGATTTACAACACTCAAATCCACATATTTCAGGCATGATATGGTCAAACAATAATATGGCGTTGTCTCACACGCACACACACACACACACAGAGGGCGTTGGCACCTTGGGACAACCTTTCCCCCAAAGAGTTTCTGAAGACCTGTACCTGCTCTTCAGCTCATCGTAACATTATATGATGTATATGCATATTGTGTATGCGTAGCAAATCAAGGAATGCATGTGCAATGCCGTTTGCACAGCGCACATGCACGCGATAAAAGTAGGGCTCCTTCTATCTCGGGACTGCAATGTGCGACTCACTGCTTTCCGGCCAACAGCACGTGGCTTGATTTGCAACAAGGAAGCAGACCAGAAGCAGCCAGCTTCAGTTGACTACTTTAGCTCCTAGACAGTCGCAGAGATGAATCGTCGCCTTTCAGGCTTTGTCATAATATATCCAGAATATTAATCATATCGATCGCGCAGAAATATGCCCGTCTTGCTGAGGAACTGTTTGCCTTTTCTGGCCCGGGCCCTATTTGGGCAAGGTGCGTAATGGCATGTTGTAAGTCATGTTTGGTTGTTTCCGAAATGAACAGCATGTTTAATATTAAGCATACTGTTTTGCAGCCTTTGGGTGGAGAAACATGCTGCATGCTGAAGCCGAGCAGCGCCATGTTGGCGCTAGTCAGTATACAGAAGCCTCAAAGTAGCACTGGCACTTGTTCAATCATCCAGAAATTGTCAAGGACCTTTGGGTCGACTCTGGCCTCACATGTGGACTATGGATTATGGAAGTTTGTGGCAGCGCTATAGAACAAATGCATCACATACTTGCGCGTGAGGGCATCGCCCGCGACCAAGGCGAGACAGCCTGGATGCACTTGCAATCCTTTGTGTGCTTTGTGGGATTCCAACATTACGACTCTGTCACTTCCCTCGCCCCACAAAGGACGGTCAGAACGTGCCCATCAGCACACCACTTTGTGGCCCACTCCCCATGAACGCCCGCCAGTCAAGCGCCCGGCCAGTCAAACGGACTGTCCTTGAATCGTCCTACACGTTCACCCGCAGATAGCCTCATTGTACCGCCGAGCTGGTTGGACAGCATGTGCACACCACGTGCTTGCTTGGACGTGAACCCAGGAAAGCTTGGATTGCACCTTGCTGTAGGTCGTGGCATCCTCCGCGGTGTTCTGCTTCGTGGTTCTGGATCGCTTCATGAGGCCGTTGGGCATCGGCCGGTAGCACACTCAGTTCAAGTGCTGAGTACTGTCATTGGCTCAACGGCAAGTTTAGGAAGGTACGACCCAAGGGAAACCTTGAGGTCGCCAAGCAGGGAGGTGTTTTTGAGCCTTCCAAGGGGATTTTGTTCGCAGCTATGTGCCACGCTTGATCGTCACCAAACCACATGCCAAACTCACCGCATTCTGCAAGAGCCAAGTTTGCCAGGTCTCGGAAGCACGTTTGGCCTGACGCGCTAGACTTTTATGCCAAGGCGGGCAGACTGGGTTGTTTGCTTGCATGTATGCAGTCGTTATTGTTGTGGTGGCCAGTGTGGGACGGTTTGCATGCTCGCTCGCAAAAGCAAGGAGCGTTGTTTGCTGCAGTGTTGCGTGGACCAAGAAGCAAATTGAAGTGGTGACAGAATCCCCACACAAATAAAGACAAGCAAGCCATGATATGTGTTGTTTCATGTCAATCCGGGAGAGTAAGTGCTCCTATCACCAGCGACCGCTCAGCTCAACGAGGCCCGAGCCAAATCGATGCCAGTTGGAAGAGCCTCCGCCATGGAGTCTGTGGAGCAGGGAGCTTTTCAAGAGAAAGGCCTTCCTTTCCCAGTGAACAAACCTCGGACCCCCAATTCCACTCCCCAATTCCACTCCCCAATCCCTACTCAATTTGTTCTTTAAATTCAGAAGGGAACCAGCAACCAACAGGAGCACCATTGCGATACGTTTGGAGCGGCATGTTGGACAGTGCATGGATGGCTTTTCAAGCCTTTGTGCAACCAACCCTTTGTGGATGGCCTTACAGGGAATGAAGATGAACCATTTCCCGTCCCTCCATGTCCCTCAGGTCCCTCAGGTCCCTCAGGTCCCTCAGGTCCCTCAGGTCCCTCAGGTCCCTCAGGTCCCTCAGGTCCCTCAGGTCCCTCAGGTCCCTCAGGTCCCTCAGGTCCCTCAGGTCCCTCAGGTCCCTCAGGTCCCTCAGGTCCCTCAGGTCCCTCAGGTCCCTCAGGTCCCTCAGGTCCCTCAGGTCCCTCAGGTCCCTCAGGTCCCCTCAGGTCCCTCAGGTCCCTCAGGTCCCTCAGGTCCCTCAGGTCCCTCAGGTCCCTCAGGTCCCTCAGGTCCCTCAGGTCCCTCAGGTCCCTCAGGTCCCTCAGGTCCCTCAGGTCCCTCAGGTCCCTAGGCCCAAAGATACGGTCCTTGGACTATTGACCTGAGACATCGAGCAAACCAAAGGGAGCGTTGCAACAATCACGCTGCGTAAACTCTCCTAAATTCCCCTAACCCCCCAGAAGTTCTTTCCAGAGCACAAGGCCCAAGTCACAATCAAAGCACACGAACGCTTGGATGTGCGCCTGGCGGTCCGTCGGCAGCCAGAAGTCCACATCGCTTTGCCAGGTGAGCCTCTTCGGAGCTCAGGTGCTGGAGTTCTGGGATGAGGCACCAGTGCACGATCAGGGCTGAACAAGAGAGGGGTTGCTCTAGTAGTTCGTTCTATCATTGTGTTTCCGGGGGCATGTATGTTGCTTTTTGGGCCTGAGAAACCCAGGGCGTGTTGCTCGGAGCCTTATGCAGTTGGTTGTTGACCCTGGTTTTGGATCACTCGTGCCACATCTCTGCCAGGCAAGTCGTGTCTTCTACGTCCAGCTTTACCAGCGTCGGCTGCAGGAGCCCCAGGGGATGGCCAGACTAGCTGAGGTCAACTGGTCAAAATCCGCCGGCGTCTTCGCTGAGGTTCAAATCGTTGCGGACGAATTACATGATCTGAAGCGCCTGAAGGCAACATGGTGCCATTCTCCAACTGCCACCCTTGCGATAAAGAACATCGCGGAGGTGTCTTGCCAGGAAGAAACAAAAGCTGCCCCCCCCAAGGCAGGCACATGGAAACAGTGAGTGGTCCTGGTATTCAAATTGCTTGCGCTTGCAGAAGGATTGCCTGTCGACGTACGAGTGATTCGCTGACTCCGTGTACTGATAACTAATGTTGCACACATGTGGGGGTCCACCACTTGAAGCTGCATGAGCTGCCATCGCCGCAAACCTAACTTTGAGAACGCTTCAATCTGCAACCAGTACGCTGCCACCAACATGGAAGTGCATTTTTGCACCCCCTGTTTGTCGAATTCCTCCACTATGCTGTGGTATTTCCACCTGGTGTTTCTTTCCTTCCCCTTTGTGGTTACCTGAGACAGCCAAAACGGGTGTGTGACACGCTAGCGGGGGTTCCCACTTTTTTCTGGTGTATGTTGAGCTGAGGAATGGGTGATTGTGTGCCGTATTGTGCCGTAATTGTGCAGTTTGTTGAATATTGCGAGCGACATATTGTATAGGGCCCAGCGGTAATTAGTGAGTGCCATCAACAGCATGCTGAGCGAATCAATCGCATTGAATCTTTGGAAGGGCTGCTGTTTGGATAAAAGCCCAGCATGTCCAAAGTGTTATTAAGCACCCGAATTCTAGACATGATTCTGGACGTTACATGCCCAAACTCGCCGGCCCGCGCACCTTACTGTGCGCAGCCGAGGCTAGGGCTCTTCGGACCTTTGAGCTATGCCTTGTCCTTCAGGCGGAGTCCGCCAAAGTGGCACAGGTTGCTTTGTTTGCACCCTTTGTGTTGACGGTACATCACAATGCGTATTGGCAAGGGGTTGTAAGCCTTGCCTTCCCGAGTCAAGTTACATGCATTGCGGCACGGAGAGGTTGTTACATTGGAAGCTCGGCTTTCTTGTCTGCAGTTGCTCACACATCCCGCTTTCGCAGCTCCCCTTACCTGACATCTCAGCAAAAATGCTGGGCTTGGCTCCAACCGTGCAAGAGGGCAACACTGCTTCCCAGAGCTCCCAACATTTTGAGTAGCTAGCGCCACCCTGCCAATGAAGTCTAGCTGAGCCGTATAGCTTCAGGGTCTTGTTGTAGGATTATAGTCAGCGGTCGACACTTTCAATAGAGCCTCAACTCACGAGAGTTGAGCAACAAACGCAGCATGATCAAAGTGCCTGGTTGTTAGGTTCCTCCAACACGAACAAGCGAGCAATTCTCATTATTTACACACGGAGCATAGCCCAACAAATGCTAAAGCAAATAGAAGGACATGTGTTGACTCATGAGTAATTTCATGCTTACTGTGTGCCATTGTCACGTTATGAGGGAAGAACCAGACGTTGATTCTGAGTTTGACATGTCGTACTGGCTCAAGGTGTGTGCGTTGCAACTGTTTACACGTTTTACGCTATGAACATGGGCCGTGTTCTTTGCCTTGGGGCATGTTAAATGGGTCGGTGTTAGCCAAGCCTTGACTTGGCTGTAAACTCTTGGCTGGTGTGCCGGTACGGTGCTGCTGTTTTTTTCCAGAACTGTACCTGTTGCTTGTCTAACTTGTTCAGCATTGCCTTGGTATTTGCTCAGCATGCGGCAGCTGACTTTCTATGTGTTCACCACATCAGCATGCTTGCGTATGGTGTTTCCGACTGCTTCACACGCAGCGCTACAGCTTCCATATGGAGGAGGGAGGAGTCTGACCCCATTCTAGTTGCACAGCGTAAGTGTTAGCCTGATGCTGAAGGCCTTGCTTGGTGGCTTGTATTTCGATTTTGTGGATGCACTCGCCGCTTTGACAACGCCAACTCCCGCAAACAGTTCTCAGATCATGAAGCAATCAGCAAGGTTTTCGCTACAGCCAACGCGCCATGGTCCAACCTTTTCTTAGCGCAGCTGCCTTGCCCATGATGCTGTTTGCGGGCTCGCGCGCGCGCGCGCGCGCGTGCGTGCGTGCGTGCGTGTGTGTGTGTGTGTGTGTGTGTGTGTGTGTGTGTGTGTGTGTGTGTGTGTGTGTGTGTGTGTGTGTGTGTGTGTGTGTGTGTGTGTGTGTGTGTGTGGTGTGGTGTGTGTGGTGTGGTGTGTGTGGTGTGTGTGTGTGGGTGTGGGTGTGGGTGTGGGTGTGGGTGTGGGTGTGGGTGTGGGTGTGGGTGTGGGTGTGGGTGTGGGTGTGGGTGTGGGTGTGGGTGTGGGTGTGGGTGTGGGTGTGGGTGTGGGTGTGGGTGTGGGTGTGGGTGTGGGTGTGGGTGTGGGTGTGGGTGTGGGTGTGGGTGTGGGTGTGGGTGTGGGTGTGGGTGTGGGTGTGGGTGTGGGTGTGCGTGTGTGGAGCCCGCCCGTGTGGTTTGCATGAAGGTCACTTGTTGGCTTCCCAGAACAAACTATGTACGTTCACTGCAGGAAATGGTTTTGGTGAAAACACATACACTGCACCTGTAAACTTAAGCCTAAGCACTAAATTTTGAATCCAACTGAATGGCATACTATGGCCCGCATGTCGCTGAGCCCCGCAGTTCTGGGCAACTTCACTTCATCCGGCTCTGGACCTTCTGGCAGGATCATGCGCCAGCCGGGGCCCCAGGACCCTAGGGGTACTGCGGGTACTGCAGAGCTTCTGGAGGGGACCGGCCAAAGCCACGTTTCCCTTCGAAGCGTCACCTGAGAAGGGTGCCCGTTATGGAAAAGAAATCCAGCATCCGCAGTGTCATGACAATATAGCGCGATGACCATTTCAACTGGCAACCGCGCAACAACAAGGCTTCCAAGCGCAATCGGAAGCCGTTTTGCCAACTGGCAGTTGGCATTGAAATCTCATGCTGGCCGCAGGCTCGAAGCCTGAGGCTCAGATTTTGGTTTGGCTCATGCCACGGACAGAGTCTGGCCAGAAAGCAACAACAAGCACAGTGAACGTGTGTTAGATGTTGCTGTTTGCTTGCCTGAACCGCGTGGGTGCGGTTCATTCAGCCACATAGACGCAAACTGGAGAGCAGAAGAAGTCGTTGTAAAGTTACCCATGCTGAGGGAACTGAGCTGTCTTCATGGCTCATGGCAGGAGGGCACAGCCCTTGGTGCCATGACCATTTTTAACTCCGCAGAGGGATGGCAGCACGGCACTTAGCAGACTTAGCATCCAGGCCAACTCAAGGTCGGTTGACGCAAATGAGCCCCTGGAGATATTTGACAAATGGCTTTGTGCCGTGCCTCCGGGTATATTTCCCACGAGCCAGTGAAGATGTTCAGCATCCACTTTGAAAGGAACCCCCCGCTCTCGTGCAATGCGCAATGCAGATGCTGAGCGTTTCTATTTTAAGACCCCAGCACTCTCTGTCCCTTCTAGGGTTGTGTCCAGATAAGACCACCCTGTTATGTTGGTTAGATCGTTCTGCGCCATGTTGCAGGGGTGGAAGGCAGAAATTCTCGAAACGCCGCACAAGGAATCTCTAATAACCTCTAACTAACGGATGTAACACCAGAGGCCATGCCGTCACGTATCATGTGCATAGCAATGCTCATTGAATTGCGGGTGTGCAAGATGTTGGTGCCGCGTACTTGGTGGGCATTTGCTGCAACCGGATTCCTTGCCATGGCATGGAGAGCCATTGCAGCCTAACAGTGTCTTCTAGTGGCACGTTGCGCCTCTTGGGCACCATCAAAATCCAGTGGCTCCCCTTGCCATGGCTGTGACGGTATTGGAAGCTTTTTGTTATCTGAATTGTCCACCTCTGCAAACCAACATGGGTATGGGTCAAAATTAAACCACCAGGGATGGCAGGTTTTGGTCCATGGTTACACTTACTACTCCCGAAAAAAACGGGGTCCATCTCCCGACACGAGACGCCTCCACGGGCGGTTGTCGCAGGCCCGCGCCGCGGTCGGAAAGCCCAGCATGGCAGCGTACACGCGCGAAATGCCCCCAAAAGGGCCTCATGGAGCTCTGGTTCTCAGGGAATTTACTGGGGCTTTGGGTTTGGGGAATCAAAACCTGGAATTCTCCAGAGAAAACCGGCTTGGGGACAATTTCCATCCCCGAGAACCAGCAAGACTAGGGATCATTTCCTCATTCCCTGAGACAATGACCCTGTTAGGGCAGCTGGAGAGTTCGTTCAACTAGTTGCAGGGAAGACTTGCAACAGTGGGTCGCATACCTGAAACCGAAGCTTACCCGACCTATGCGTTCCTCGCTCTTTTGCAGACTGTAGATGACCATAAGATGTGCTCCCATTCGTGTGCCATGTCTCAATGTAAACTCAAGAGACTTGCAGGGGTTCCGGGAGATGGGTGCCTTACCCTGAGGTACAGCCTTTGTTTTTCCCTGACGGATGGTTCCTTGCTCGCTACTTGCAGCTTGAGGTATTTCATCTCATGTACTTCGCGGTGGCGCGCAGGAACTTCCGCACCCTGACCTGCGTTCGGGTGCACAGCGCGGAGAATCCTGGAATTACGGGGCGTTCTCAAGGTTTGCAGGCATACCCCAGGCCTTGGGACTGTTTGGCGGGCTTTTTTGGACATGAACCGGTTGTGGGCTTCTTGTTGGTCCATGCGAAGTGAATTTGATGACATGGTGCTGCCAGGGAGGACTGCAAACCGGCCATGTGGCCCCCGCGTTGAGGTCGTCCTGGGCGAGGATGCGGTCTTGATGAAGCAGGGCGCGGTAGCTTGCCGCCCGGGCCCGGGAGTATCCAGGAGTGAGGGATCCACCTCCCTGCGTAATCATGTTCAAGCATTTGAAGTTGTATGAACACGTTGACCCCAAGAGAGAAACTCTAGAAACGACGAGATTCTTATGCAACATCACCTACTGTTTGAATATCCTTCCTTCAAAACCAGATGAAGATAGACAGGATGTGTTTGTTTACAAAATCACCCACGTCTACTGGAATCAGAATGTGACAGTCGGACGAAGGTGTGCTGCCTTGCGATCCAAATGTTCGCGACTTACCGATTTGCAAAGCTAAGCATTGCTCTATGTTCATTGTACAACTGGACGCCTTTCTTGAAATTGGGGAGTTGTGTGGGTGCTCAATGTCCGCAACTCAGCCAGTTGAATGTTGATGAGGCGGATCAATCCTTTTGATGGACAATCCATCTAACCTCAACACGTCGACAACCCAGCTGTTGAGTCCCGAAAATGGCCCCTGTTCTTTTTTTGAGATCGGCAAGTTCCCAGCCAGCGTCCAGCCCAGGCATCCCAATGAAACTATCTGGCACTCGCGCGGCCATCTCAGGGGCTCTGCCTCGGCCGCAGGCATGGATTCACTTGACTTATGGCAAGACTCGGCCAGCACCCAACTTGTTCAAAGACAATAGTCAGACTATCGCCGAAGGGCAAATGTTGCAGAGCAACCGTCTCAAGGGCCAAGTGCCTGACATCCCTATTCAAATCTATTCGAGCTTTTGACCTTGGGCCCCAACCGCCAGTTGCGGCACTGGCACCGGGACCACGGCGTCGGGGCTAAAGTGCCCCGAGGGCGCGGGCGCGAGTACTCCGATGGCAGCCCGCCTCGGGTTCTCGATGGATACGGAGGAAATGAGGGAGTTGACCCTGCCGATGACCAGCGAGGCAGGGCACATCCCTTTGGCTCCTCCCTGAGTCTCAGGGTTTTTTGCATTACACCCTGGGAATACACCCACTGGGTATTGACCGGCACATTTCCGGATAAACCCGTGTTATTTTGAACCATTCTGGGTTATTTCCCAAGGGTGTAATACCAGGGTGTAATACAAAAACCCTCAGACTGAGAATCTGTAGAAGGAATTTGGAGTGAGGTGACCGCAGGTAGCTGCTCCTCTGAACATGGCTGTTGTTGGAGTTCCGTGTTCATCTGCAGAGGAGTAGCTAGTGTGGCCCAAAGCCATTCTGTTGCCAAGTGCCAGAACAGTATCAGACATCTACTTGTTCATGTCTTATCCGTCTTATCCGTCTTATCCGTCATATCCTTTCCCATTATTGCAACACATTACTCATTGGCATCCATCAAGTCAAGTTGTAGCTGGCACAACATGTGCTAGAAGAAGTGCTTTGCCACCCATTTCTTTGCTTGACAAACTTTTTGACCATTGGAGAAGTAGCTGAAAAAGATGTAAATGATGGACAGCAGGCTGACTTGCAGGGCCTTTTTTGAGGGCTTTTGAGGGTCTGGCCGGGTTTTCCCATGGGCAGGTGCAGAAACCGCGGTGCTGCGGGTGGAAGCTGAAAGCTTGCTGCGGCGGGTTTCTGGTGGTACTTTGTGTGCTGGCAGTAGTTGTGGGACTCTTGGACAGCAGGGCCAGGTGCGGACCGGACATGGCTCAAAAGTTTCTTCTTTTTCTTTTTCGGCAGGGCAACATGCTTTTTAAGCAACCAGGCCCTGGGCGATTTTTGAAGGGACACAAACAAACAGGATCCCTCTCCACATTTTCCCTGGACGACCTTGAGGTCTCTGCAAACAGTTGTTTGGGCCCCGCTGATGCGTTTTTGGCAGAAGCTCTGGCATAACAGCGTCGCGTTGCAATTGGCAACTCGGTTGAATGCCATTTTGTCGGGTTGGGCTGGATGATGTCATTTTGGACGGAGCTGTTTGGACAGACGGACACGATACTTTCAGCCAAGCAGCTGGCATGCATCATCCATTCATGCTTCCCTGGGTGTCCAAGCCACCTGCCTTAGTGGTTTCATGGTATGTCAGGCGGTCCGTAAACAGCGTCCACAAAATGCTAAGCGTCAAGCTTCCATCATTGTGTAGTGACTTGCTGAGACGCTGAAAGTCGCCTTTTTCCCGAGAGCCCCTTTCCGCAAGGATTTGCGCCCGCAGCCCCGGCCATTTTGTAGACACTGTGGCCAATCCATTGGAATGGCCGTTCCAACATCACATGTGAAATCCACAGGGGGATCCAACAGGAGGTTGTTTGAACAATGGTTGTGTTTAACACATTTAAATTTGTGATTGTGATTGTGGCTTGAGATGCGGCGCCACTGGCACCTGGACTAAACAGCGAGGGCTGTTTGTCCGCACAGGGCTCTGCGTTAACGCTGCAGCAGCCCCGACCTAGCCAGCACGTGTGCCAACCACCATTGGCCTACGGGCCATCGTGCTGGCTTGGGCTGGTCAAGACAGGAAACCCTCTTCCCCCCAAAAAAGACTATTTAAAAAAATGAAAAATGGCTCAACCCTGATTTTGGGCAAAATCGCTAATACAACGGTGGCATCCTGTCGGGTAGTTGGCTGACAATGATGCCTGCGTTCTGGCTTTCACACAGCTTCACTATGTTAGTGTGTGAGTAAAAAATGACTTGTGTGTCCTTTCCACATGGTGCACGTTTGCTTGTGAGAGGCACTTTTTGCTTTTATTTGTGGTTTCCACGGGAGTTGCAAAAGAGACGCAACGTGACACCTGCAACCAGCATAACGGCCCCAAAGAAGCTGCTGTGAAGGTAACGCGGCCCGGCCCTTCTCGTGTTGGGAATTTGCACCGAGGTGTTGAAATCCACCAGAGGTCTGAGCCTCTTGAACCACTGCGACTGGGCCGCAAGGGCGAGAGTGCTGATGCTGATGTTGGAAAACACGGCCCCAGTGTTGGACGCCGACAAAACCTAGCCGTGGGCTGTTTGCACAGGAATTCACATTCCGTGGCCGCCAACTTGTCCGACCAGCGACCATCAGTCGCTGACTCAGGCTGCGAGTACTGGAAACCGTGCCTGCTTGCCACGATCCCAACCGGGCCACCTGCATCGTGGCCCCACGGCGAGACATGTGCAGACAGGGTTCGAGTTGACTTGGGTCCTGCGGCCGGCTATTAAAGGTGCGAAAGCAAGCCCTGTTCCACTCGTGCCGGGCAGATTTGTTGAGATCCTTTCAGCAGGTGCCATTGCAAACATGATTTCCCTTTTTTTGAAGAAGCGCCGGCCTTGAAGCGCAAGTCGTGTGCACAGAGTTTACATGTCGTGAGGCCCACCTTTGTTCAGGGCTCAACGGTTTGTGTTTTGCACGTGTGACATGTCAAGCTCGCGTGTTGTCTTGATTGCCATGTGTTTCGGGCGTCTGAAACAATGTTGCAAGGTGATGCTTGTGCTAAGATGCGAAAGTAGGTCTACCGGGTCCGCATTCATGCATACCACTGACGGGAACCCTTCTTCAGGCAACGACACGAAGCTTGATTGTAAAAGACGGGAGGCCCTTCAGCAACTCCACCTCCTTGCCCGCAAGCAAATCAAGAGTGCTAGCGTTGCACATGGTCCAGGTGCCTGGAACGCTCGTAGCACTGGGATCCCGGTTCCCAGCCATAAGTTTGGCAGCATCACGTCCCACGGAGGCTTTGAGCTCGATTCACGAAACCGCATGGCTCAGGCGAACATCACTCCCCAACATTGGGGGCTGAAGGCCTTGCCTGGATTTCGCCAGTCTATGTGGCGGAAGCGTTTTGTTGGAGCGCTGCCAAGGACTTTAATAGCTTCAACGTGACCAAGTTCGACTTAAGGCCACCACAACCGGAGAAGGCGCTCGGCGGGACCAACCGGAGCCCGCGGGTTCAGGGAAGTTACAGCCATCAGTTGACTGCTGTCCCAAGCAGTCAGGGTCATGGAGTCATGGAGCGTATGTCCAAAACCCAGAGGTTAAACAACTGCCCTGGCAAGCAAGGACCAGCCACTTTTCGTTCCGCCAGTGGAAGATCAACACGCGCCCTGGGGAAATCAATGAGAGAGTAAAGCTGTCAGTGTGAGATCTCCACCTGCGATTCATCAACAAGTGGATGCAGAGACTACTTGAATGGTCGAGATTACTTATGATGCTTGTGTGAATGCGAGAGTCACCCTGGTCTGCCTAGAGCGATTATGCCCGTAGGCGGTACGCACTCCTCGCTTGGAAAGGGGTACACCTTACATTTCGGCATGCTGAGTGGATTTTGGATAGCTCAACCACGCTAGATGGAGCATGTGCTGTTCGGCCAGTCTACCAGTTTGACACGGTCACCGGTGCAAGGAAAGCAGTGGAAGTTGTTTCTGCTTGTGTTCGTGTTGGCAAGGCGCTTCTGGGCTTCATGTGGATCCAAGTGGCCAGAAGGGATGTCAATGTAATGCGGGAGCGGCTTGGCCAGAATTTGACCCAGGATTTACAGCCACCGTGATTGACTAGCAGGGGTGGCGTGCCCCAAGAAAGAGGAAAATTGAAGGAGCCACTCTCCAGTTAATTTCCCGGGGTGAACATGTCGCTTTGTGCTGACGGCCTACAAGGGAGTAGCACAGCATGGCGACCACCAAACAACAAGTTCTTGCAGGTTGTGTTCAACAATGTTCGGAGGTGAGGTAGTCTGTGTGTGGTCCGTTTGGCAAGCGAACAAGTCATTTTGAGCCTGGCTCAGCCAGAATGCAAGCCTCCTGGCAGCTGTCGTGCTTGGTGCTGAACCGGTGGGTGGACACACCGACTGTGGCTTGCGTACTTGCATTTGAGTTGTTATGCGCGGGTGATAAGGGTTCACGATGTCACCAGATTGTGCCCAAGTCTCGGATTGATCAAAGCAATGCAAGTACCTGCGCTTGACTTGTTTGGGCTTTCAGGCCCCTCCCTTTACGTCCCAATGCATCACATAGTAGCACGCCACACCAGCAACAACATGGTGCCTTTGTTTCGCAGACAGTTGTTGGTAAATGGAGATTGCTATCTTGGCCAGCGCAGCCTGGCAATCT